GGGGGTCGGGGGGTGTTTTGGTCTAGTCTCTGTGTCAAATGCTTCTTCTTTTAATTTATGTCCAGTTTTAGTCAGTTGTTTTTGTCTGTAGAGTTTGTCAACTAGAACAGCAGTTCCGTCTGTGTTTGGGTTGAAGTGACAGCAGTTCAGATGTTTGTTTTTAGCACAGCCGCTGGTCTGTGGCAGGAAACACATCCACACTGCACTGGTTTTTGTCTGTGTTCGACGTTGGTGTTTCAGCACTGGCATCAACATGTAGTATCATCTTCTCACCACACGGATGTGTCTGTGTCGGTTTAAGACACTTTACTCTTTGTCATGTTTTTTGCCTTGTAAAACAGTCATGAAAACTTTTACTCAAGTGGAGCCCCCTATGGCTCACACTAAGAAATTCAGACCCCCAAAAGTGACATTTTATTTTTTATTTTATTCATTAATTCTTTATTGTGTTCTCTCGTTAATGTTGCACCAAACATTATCCACAGAACAAAAGCAACAAATGTCTCCAATAAAATGTTTAGCTTAACAACATTTACTTCTTTAAGGACGTGGGATTGCACCAGCGTTTCACTTCCTGAAGTGGGATTGATCTAAATCTAAACTTTACTGGTATTATATGGCAACAATAAAATGTTTCGTGACAGAAATAGAGCATGACAACAACCGTGAGTGTAATGTGTTGTAATGTGGCCAGCCTTGACCTGTCTATCAGTGTGTGTGGGGAGTTGGGGGGTTGGGGGGGAGTGAATAAACGCTGACTACATTATAATAATAGTTGAATATTCTTTGACTGATTCACACAGAATGGTGTCGTTTATGCTCCGCTGCATTTGTCCATTCATGTTTGAACGAGACAACAACTTACTGTCAGCTGTTCTTGTTGAAAAGGTCCGGGTGTTTCATCTTATATTGCTGGTTTGCATGTGGCTGCTTGATTAAAGTCAGGCCTTGAACCCAATCAAGATTAAATCTGACGTTTGAGTCAGTTATTAACTTAAATGACAAAGATTAGGGCAGGGAATAAAGATAAGGAGCCTTTTGTAAATAGCAGCAAAGTCACAGGAAACCACGGAAAATGCACTCAGTTTTCACCTAACCTTCGTCTTCTGGTTCCTTATTTTTAACCCTTTTCTGTGTGTTTGTTTTTGGTCTCTTTGGTCGGCTCCAGATCGTCCCGGTCTTCTAAACGTGAAGCCCATCGAGCAGCTCCAGGAGACGGTGCTCCATTCCCTGGAGCTCCGTCTCAAGCTGAACCACCCAGACTCACCGCAGCTGTTTGCCAAACTTTTGCAGAAGATGACGGACCTGCGTCAGATCGTCACGGACCACGTGCACCTCATCCAGCTGCTGAAGAAGACGGAGGTGGACATGTGCTTACACCCGCTGCTGCAGGAGATCATGAAGGACTTGTATTAATCCACTGACTTCATCTGAAAAACAGAAACAAATAATGAAACACACACACACAAAACAAACGTGTTTGTCGAGACAGAAACACAGAAACACAGAGTAGAGCTAATGCCTCTGCACCGGTGTGGACCACCAGATGTTTTTCTTGATGAGGTTCTCGTCACCGTCTGCTTCACGTGCCTTTAGGACAAATGTACCACTGTGAATATTCTTCACCTCAGTCACACAGTACAGTACGTGTTGTTATACAGCTGCTTATCTGTGTTTAGCCTCACAGTATCCTGTACCTCTGCCGACGCACTTCACACCAGCAGGTCCTGTTCCCTGGAACCAAATCATTATCATTACAATACATTATAATCCTAATCTGACTCCACTTCTAATCCCAACTCCAGATTAAGTTTTAAACCTTAAAAGGGAACTTCAAAATGATCGCGTCCCACCCGGATCACACACCACACTGGACTCTGGTGTTTCTGTTGAGGCCTCAGGGTGAGATCAGGTCCTGATCATCTTTATCCAGAGTCAAATCAGATTAATGGCTGTAACTCACTTCACTTCAACTGTGAGAAAGTGTGACATCAACAAGACGCACGTTACAACGCTGATGTCAGCTCTTTGTTAAACTATGAATATGTACACGTCACACTGTGCCTTTTCTCTTCTTCGTCTTATTATGTATATTATACACATATCATGTATAATATAGTTGCTTCGCTTGTGTGTTTTTTTTTTTTTCATAAGAATGTGTCAAACACAATTGGCTTCTTAGCACTAGTTGTTTTTGTTTTCAAATTGTATGAAAGTGAATCTTAATTTTTGCTGCAGCATTTTATTGTATTTACACCAAGTGTCAGGTGTCGACCAATCGCACAAATGTTTTCTAGGGGGGTGTCAACAACTGAGGGGATAAATGTTATGAATAAAATGTTTGTAACTTTTTGTGGGAGTCCCTGTGGTGCTTTACATGTTTATTATATACAAGAGAGTAAAAGAGTTCTCAGATTTCATGAACTAAACCGTATCACGACGCGACCCTGGTCTGGACACAACCAGCTTTGACCGGTTTGACTGAATCAGCATTTCAGCTGAATTACATTTTATTTATGTGAGTTTTCAACCTTCAAAAATAAACAATGTTGAATTCAGGAAAAAACAAAACAAAAATAAATTTTAGCCTTTTGAAATAATAATAAGACTCTGCCCTGGAGTTCTACAGTGATGAAACATTTGTTGAGATGTGGAAATGAAAAGTTTGTATTTTCATAAATAAAGATTTATTTTCGCAACTTGTCTTAAAATGAGTTGACAAATGTTCTGTACAAAGAAAATTCCAGTTGATGTTTTTCGTGATGTGTGACCTCCACTGATAGAAAGGTTTTATGGCTGTATGTTAAAAAACAAAACAAAAAAAATCTCAACTCTGAAAATGTTTTTTTTTTCAGGATCTGATGAAAACTTGCACAATGTGGGGATTTTTATTTTAGTTTATGAAATGTCATTGTAGGAGCATGACGTCACCTGTGACTCATCAGGTCACCTGACACCTGTTCATTTACACAGGGCTGTAAATGCCCCGTCTGGGCAGTGATTGGTCTCACAGGGTTCATTTGGGGTGACGTCATTCTTCCTCTCTGAAAACTAAACACCTCGGGTGGGTTGTGGGTACAAAACTGGATTAGGAAACAGCGCAGAGATGAAGGGGACGCAGTGTTGTGGGAATTCATGATGTTACATTAGTGAAAGCGGTCGTTACCTTCAAATACTCCTGTGGCTCCAATAATACTCCCTAGTACTCAGGGTTTGTGTTTAGTTTCTTTTCTTTACTTTCTTCAGGATGTTAAACCCATTCAGCCCCAACACCAGAGCGCGCGCGTGTGTGTGTGTGTGTGTGTGGAACATTTTCAGATTCATCAAACTCACTTGTATCTGGTGGTTTGTGGTGGAGAGATACTCCGCCGACATAGTACAGCCTACCTGACTATAGTATTTCTTTGAACGGTTCCAATCTGATGTCGCTGTGACATTTTAGTCACGGCTGTGTGAACATCTGAGGACAGCTGATGGTCGGGGCTTGATGGTCTTCTCAGGCTCTTCTCAAACATCTGATGATTGGAACTGAATGTGTTCTTTGTGCTGAGTCAGCACAGCCTCACTCTGTAAAGGCCAGTCTCTGTGGACCGAGCCCTGCCAAAATTCCTGAGTCGATCTGCCAAATAATTTCGGCGAGTATCTTTCTGCTGTTGTCTGAGCGCACGGCGCCAAGTCCAGATTTACACCAGGACCCTCTGTTTTTGTTTGACCTCCTTAAAAGCTTCATTTTCTTTAAATCCTTTTTTGTTTTACTGTCAAGGAGGAATTTCACTCCCAACAATGTGAAACCTGATACGTGTGAATGTTTGTCCCTGCGTTCATCTGACGTGATACACCTGCTAATCTGGAGGGAGAGAATTGATATTTTAACCTCGTGTTTACATGAAAAATAGAATAGGAATTTAGATGGAGGTTTCATTGTTTTTTGAGCTGTAAGGAAAACACTTAGATATTTGGTAGAATGTGTTCAAACTGGACAGTGACTGGTTCCACAAACTGTTCTCTGTTTCTCAATATCCTAATAATGTTTAATTAAAATAATATAACAAAAACAAGTCAAATAAAACTGTAAATATCAGACAGGAATCATTTCAACACCACACTCTGAACTTTCAAAATAACAATAGCAGTAATCCTCACATGATCTGAAACGTCTCGTGTTTCCGCCTACACACATTTGTCGTTGTCGTTAATTCTAAAGGCAGGGTGGATCAGGTGAATATTTTCCTAATTATTCACTCATTCTCTTACACTTTAACACCATTCGTAAGAACCTGATGCAATGTAAGTGACCAACTATGACTCAACACTGTGCAATTGTACCGACTTAGCTGCTAAAAGACAGAAGCAGTTGAATAGAAACTATCACCAATCCCCAGAATATAAAACAGAATATGAATAAAATAAATAAACATACATTTTCTTGTTGATCTGCTGTGGAAAATGTACAGCTGAAACTGTTTTATTTTGGCGGGTTTGGACAAGAATAATTCTATATTTCGTTCTATATTCTGAATACAACATATACTGTTAAATAAATATGCTTATCTGATCTTTTTAAGCACAGGCAAACGATTCCGACCTTGTCATTCAATGACCCAAGCAACCCATGCTAAATAATGGTAATATACGATAGCGTGTTATATTGACAGTATATTAGCTCTACGTTGCTGCCATCTGCAGGCTGTAACAAATATTGCCTCTCGCAGCTGTCGACATTTCCGCTTCCACGTTCTATCACCGAACTGTTTTGATAAGCCGACCCCACATTACCAGCACAGTCACTAATTTGAACCTTTTAAGAAAATAGATCCACCTCTCACTGTGATTATGTCCTGGCCATCTATGTTCAAGCAACCGATGGGTGAGGGGGGTCTGAGGGGGAGTGAGGGGGGTCTGAGGGGAGTCCTCTGTTTAATCGGCCGAGGAGCAGTGTGTGGGGACGGTGAGCATGGCGCTCACTGCTCTGCATCAAAACTAAAATATTGTGTATTGCTTTGGTTCGTGGAGTACTTAAGTACTTGAAGTGTATTTCATGAAATATTATATCTTTACTCCCCATAAATGTTGGCATTTTCTAAACCATTTTGGTTGCGCTGCAGATAAGACACTGGGGGCGGTAATGAGTCAGTTCATCGAAACTCTTCGTCGAAGAAGACTGAAACACGGAAGTGGTCTTTGTTTTTTGCAGCGGGAAAGAGAAGGCGAGGTAACGTCTTACTTACCAACATTTTCTTTAATTAAACAGTAAATATGATTACAGTTTATCAAAAGGTTAAACTTCGTTTTTAGTTGAAATACGTCGAAATGCGGCCTTGGTTTTTGAACGTGTTTGAGCAGAGAAAACGTAAATTCAGCGTCACCTTGTAATGTGTACTGTTCTCTGGGCTGTAGTTTACAATTTTAAACCAATCAAGTTCACTTTTTAATTTATCGTCATTGTTGTGTCTGTTTTGCCTAAAATAGCAACACACGATGTTGCAGTTAATCGTTGGTAATATAGTTGTGGCCCGTTTGGGGGCGCTAGTTACAACTTTCACGAGAAGACAAAACTCCACGTAGACGTTATCTTTGTTTTAGTAGCTCGTCCACTCGTCTTTGATATTTCATGTATTTAATTTGTTCAGAGTGGTATCGGGCACGGTAATACTAGTCTTTTTAATGTTGTTACTGTCGGTGTACTGTACTGTACCCCCCCCCCACACACACACACACACCCTGGGCCCTGACAGCTGCCCCCTGCTGACTGTGCTGATGCTACCTACCTGACACGCTGTCATTGAAACACAACGAAATTGAGTCTCTGCTTTTAACCCATCATGCAGTGGTGCAGTGGTGTGCTGTGTCACAGTGACAAGAAGTTCACTTTATCTTCTTTCTAAAATAAACATGATTGTATTGTTAATTATATTTTGTCTTGTTTTTTCAAATCATTTTCTCAGTGTTATTATGTAAGTTCTGTTTACCAGTCATGGTACTGGGGTTACTTCTTGTCTATATTTCTGTATCAGTATCATAAATCAGGGGACAAATTAAACCAGCAGCTGTGCAGAGACAATGCAGACAAATCATGGACAACAAGGACATGTCTCTCTGTGGGATGATGGACGTTCTGTCTTCTCTCTTATTAGCAGCTGGGCCAAAATGATGCCATCTAGGAAGAAGGAAAATGTGGTCAAATCTGAGGTCTCCTCAAAGCTCTTTGTGTCTGGTGGCAAACCAATGTCTTTCTACCTGCGACCTGGTCCCATCAAACACAAGCTGGTGTCACACATCACATCTGGAGGGGGGTCGCTGTCGTCAGTCCAGCAGCCGGGAGCCATCCTGCTGGTTGACCCCAGTGAACGAGACTGTATTCCTGAGAGTACTAGTCACTGGTAGGTGTTAGTGGGATTATAGTTTTATAGTCTAAAATGGGATTACTTTGGTTCAAGGTCTCATCTGTTCAATGTTTAATTAGCCAAATACTTTGTAGATACCAGTTGTGTAACATGTACTGATGTGTATTTTTTCAGGTATGTTTCCACCACATACATTGACGACTGCGTAAAAAAGAATCAACTGTTGAATTTAGAGGAATACAGGTTAAATCCCAAAGAAACCCCAGGACCGTCTGCAGAACATTTTGATAAACTCAACAGCAAAGGAAAAAAAGTGCAACTCACAGGAGGTAAACGTCTATTTGTAGTCAAAAAACCTGCGAAGTGTCACCACGAGTTCTGCCTTTGATTCTGTCGTTAATACAAAGACTGTAATCTGTGCAAAGGTTTTATTCAAAAGACACTAAGTACACACTCATTCTGATAGGGCGGTCCTCGTACACTGCTGAAGAGGATGATGCCATTTTGAGTTATGTCATCAAGCACAGGGAACAGACTGGTGGGAACCGGCTGTGGCAGAAGATGGAGAAGCTGCGGGTGACGAGTCACAGCTGGCAGTCCATGAAGTATCACTACAGACAGAAACTGGGAAAGATGCTGTCTGAGGTCACGAAGGTGAACAGAGCACGGACCACAGTCGTTTTCATGTTCCAGAACACAACAGTGTTAGAAGGTCGTTTTGGATGAAGCCACTAGAGGGCAGTATATTTGAACAAATCTTGGTACTGGATTGGATCTTGGTTTTAACAAATCTTTAAATCCTGTTGTGTTTTGACTTCTCATTCAGGATGTAGTTTGAGGTGCTGGGGCAGTGGTGGCTTAGTGGTTAAGGAAGCGGACTTGGGTTTCAGGTTCGAGTCCAGTGGTGCTGTCAAGTTACCACTGAGGTGCTCTGTTAAAAACAAAGGTCAAATTTGTTCAGGTGCAGTGGTGTGTCAGAAAGGAGTTCACTTTCTTCTTTCACTGAAGAAAAACAGGAAATGGATGTTATTGTTATCACCATAATACAGGTATGAGGTGTGAACCGTGCCTCTGCAGTAAGTCGTGGTGTTTAAATCAGATTTCATGTTCTTCCAGTTAGATGCTGAGCCCAGGAAAGCTAAAGTAAAAGAAATCCCAAACCTTCCTGAAGCTGAAGAGACGCAGTTGGTTCCACAGACGGACCTTCTCCTCAGTCCAGCTGAGGACACACCAGCACAGTCACAAACAACCATCTCTCCACAAAAATCGCTGTTCCCTCCTACCCTGGTACCAGAGGTTCAACCACTGAGGCGTTCCACCCGCAGGAGGCTCGATGTTGATGCTACAGCTGTGGATGAACCTCGCAAAAAAGGACGACGGTTTGTGGAGCCAACAGCAGAGTCTGTCAGGGAAACCACCTCAGCTGTGAGTGTGTGTGAGGAGAAGGACACCACAGATGACTCGGCTCCTTCTCAGAGATCCAGAGGAGACGGTGAGGCCACAGTGGCTGAGCTTCAGCAGCCGTTGGAGGATGACGACGCACAGGTGTCCACTGGTCCACCAGGTATTTTATGTGCCTGTCATGAGCCACCACTTCAATCATACATTCAGTAAATGTATGAAGTCTTTCTGTTTTCTCTTTTAGTTTCTGTGTCTTTAGATAAAGAATCCCAGTCACTGTTGGAGGATGGGAGTGAGGGAGGAGAGCAGAGAGAGCTGGGAATGTTGGAGATGGCTACCAAAGAGTTTGAAGATCAATTTAAGGTTTGAATAAGTGTATGTAGCGCTTGTTTCACTGTGACTACGGTGGGAAACGGAGAAAGACCAGTGTGTCCTGACTTCCTCATTTTGATAAAAAAAATATCAGCAGAAAATAGTTTTATTCATTTTTGTTTCATAGCTGTCCTGTCATTGGGGTATTTATTAATTTTGCTTTTCTGTTAAAATATTACTAAATGGTCATGTGAGTCGTTGACCCTATGGTGGATGGTTCCCCCTCCCTGTCCTCTGGGTGGGGGTCGTTGGTGTTGATCTATATTTCTTTCTTTTCTTGAATGTTAATAAGGATCTACTGCAGACGTGTGCTCCACTTATAACGTGAGTCTAAACAGTTTTATAGACCAATTATACTATTTATAGTCGTGGCGGAGAATGGCAGGGGGGTGAAAAATATGTTCTTCTTCCTGGGGGGCGTAACAGAAAATGAAATGAGAAGCACTGGTTAAATTTAACAACGGTGTCAGTTTTTAGGACTGCAGTTTGCTAGCACTTTGTTAGCAGTCTGTTAGCACTTTGTTAGCAGTGTGTTAGCACTATCCCACTTGGTGTCCTCACCGTGGTTTGACTCTAGAATTTGTCCTCAGGTTCAAACTGTGTATTCATGTTTACAGACTGCTGAGGATGATGCTGTTGATGTCCAACCTGAGGTAACTCAGGAGAAGAATGCACCACTGGCACCACCACCAGCCTTGCCTACAGGACAGGGCTCAACGCAGTCCAACCCTGAACCAGGACCAAGTGATCAGGTAGAACCCAGGCTTCAGACCATCAGCCCAGAGCCCCCTGAGCCAAAGACCCCTGCTGCTGCTGCTGCTGCTGCTGCTGCTGCTGCTGCTGATGATGATGATGATACTGATACTCATCCAGGCTCCAGGGCCCACCTCTTCATATTTGAGAGTGGACCTCAGGAGGCAGACAGTCGTGCTGTGGTTGGTCACAGAACCACAGCTTTGTCCAACTCACAGCCACCTGTGACCAAAGCCTCTGCTGTGAGTTCCACTCAGCTCCAGTTGGAGGAGGATGTTCAGGAAATCCAGACCTTGATGGAGCGAACAGATAAGGTGAAGGTTTGGTTTTCTGCTCAGCTGAACGCTGTGTTGGTTTGAAAATGGTTTCAAACCAACATCCTACTGTTTGTGTGTTTTTGACCTTGAATGTTCATTTGTGTCCCAGGACCTTTACTGTGTGACTAAGGCTCTACTGAAGACCAGCGGAGACTTCTGTGCTGCGTTCCACCTCCTCATGAATCCCACTAGGTTTTCTGGACCGTTCTGGAATCGCTCCGACGACAGTCGTCTGCGCTCGGGGGATCCTGTGGTCCGACAGCAGCTACGGGACAAATACGGTGATGCAGAACTGGTCAAAAGAATCGGGTTTCTGGAATTGGAAAGATGAGACGGTGGAAAACACATCTTCAAGTTGGACATTCTTCAGCCATCGTATCAGGACCTCATGTTCTCAGGTGACAGAATACTATCATATACTATTTGTCCTTTAAAGCCAATAAAGTTCTATCCAAGTCTCTTTGTTACATTTTTTAAAAATAATTCCATCAAATAAAATAAAATACATCCCTGATCGCAGCCAAATGTAACTGTTTTTAATAATATGTTTATAAATGTGGTTCTGAAGAACAGTATTGATGGAGATGCTAGGGCTCCCTCTAGTTGTACATGAGGGAAGCTTCCTGAGATACTTTCAAATTGGATTTCTCTTTGTTTAACCCAAACAACATGGATGATACTCTGGAGAAGGGTTAATGACAGTAAACTATCTGTTGAAGTTGGTTTCATCTTAGTGGTATCTTTAATGAACATGAACCTGAAGCTGAAGTTTGCTCTTCTTCTTTTTTTACCACAGAATTTAAGTGGAGGAAAAGGCTGGGCATCAACCAATATGAGTCCGACTTCAGTCAAAATAGTTATGTAGGTAAACATATCAGGTGTTAATCTGATGAACAGAGTGTGGCCCCTCAGGTTGAACCACTTTAGGAGGTTGTGTAGCCTTACAGTAACAGGTAGATTGTTGTTGTACGTCTGAAGCCGCGGCTCAAAAACCTGTGTGGACTAGGAACTCTGGGAGTTTCTGGATTTTTTTTTTTTTTTTGCAGTTTCCTGTGAGTCATGATAACAGAGTTATTTTCTCTGTTTTGATTGGTCCTGGTGCTTCTGTTTCCATAGTCTTTGGTTGAAGCAAACATTTATTTGTTGTTAAAAAAAAAACAACAGAGAAAATCATTCTTTATCCAATCACCCATTTTATTCCATTTTATCCAAACAACTCAGTACATTCAGAATATTCAGCCCAGATCCACGTGAACACGTCCCAGATGAGGGTGAGTCAGAAAGTTCAAAGACAGTGGGAGTGGGGGTGGCAGGGTAATTCATATATGATATAAAACTTTATTTGAATGTAAATTCTCTCAGCTGTGTTTCCACCTCAGAACCCTAGGGGTCGTCTTTCTTTCCCGGTCACGACCTACTTCTTCTCTGCTTAGGACTCAAGTCAGGTCTTTTACTTTTCAACAGGTATTTATTTAAAAAAGTGGGACATAGCCCGGTTTTTAAATTGTTGATTGTTGTTTGCAAATTTAAAAATACAATTGAATAATAAAATGTGACGCGGCTAAACACTCGGCAAAGACACGATAATGAAACTGAACGCTTTAAAACGTCACTCTGAACTTTCTGACTCACTCTCGGATTTCAGAGAAAAAAGGACAAAACAAAAAAGAAAAAAGGATGAGAATCTGTCACTGTGAGGGATTTGAACCAATTATGGCCACACCTGGTGCTGCACCTGGTTTTAATCTCCCTGACGTGCTGAAGGTGACACAAGGCGAAGGTTTGAAACCATATGTCAACATGGACGCGTCAGTCCCACCACAACACTGAAATAAACCTCTCTAGTCTGAAACGTTGACCCCTGCAGGTTCCTCATGGAAATACACCCAGGTCACACGCCGTGTGTTGGTTGATATACACAGCTGACATCCTCGCTCTGATACTTCCTTGTTTTCTTTGCTCAGCGTTTACAGACTCTTTCCAGAAGTCTGGTCTGCCTGTGTTCATGAGGCCGCGCGGTGGTTACAGTGGTGGATGTTCTACAGTAAGAATGACCACAGCTGTGGTTTGATCCCTGACCTTCTGTACGGACCTAGAATGTTCCCCTGGTACTGTTGAACCCTTGTGATGTCACAGCCCTACACCAGGTCTGTCATCTTTAACGACTGACAACGTCTCCACAGACGTTACATTCAACCAGGAGGATCACATGATGTAGAAAAACCAATCTGTCAGGACCGTCCACTGTGGCTCAGGCTCACCGTCTCATTGTCCTGTGCTGCTGTAGACATTTACACATGGCTTTGATTGGCAGGTCAGCGTCAGGGTCAGGGTCAGACTGTTGTGGGTTATTGTTAGGCTAATATTGTGTGGTCAGGGTTATGGTCTGTAGAATGGTCTGTTAGTTGTTGTTATGGCAACACTGACCACAGTAGACTCAGGTCAGTGCTGACCACAGTAGACACGGGTCAGTGCTGACCACAGTAGACTCAGGTCAGTGCTGACCACAGTAGACACGGGTCAGTGCTGACCACAGTAGACTCAGGTCAGTGCTGACCCCAGTAGACTCAGGTCAGTGCTGACTCAGGTCAGTACTGACCACAGTAGACTCAGGTCAGTGCTGACTCAGGTCAGTACTGACCACAGTAGACTCAGGTCAGTGCTGACCCCAGTAGACTCAGGTCAGTGCTGACTCAGGTCAGTACTGACCACAGTAGACTCAGGTCAGTGCTGACCCCAGTAGACTCAGGTCAGTGCTGACTCAGGTCAGTACTGACCACAGTAGACTGACTAAACTATGCCTTTAAAAAAGTAAGAAAAGCAGAATAAAGCTACATCAGCACAGTTTTTTTTTTTTTTTGGTTGGAGGACCAACATTGTTTAAATCAAAAAGCCAGCAGGCAGTCTGCAGGGCAGCTATTCATTTACAAAACAAGGCTGTTATAAAAGAGCCGTAAAAACATGCTGAAATAACCTGCATCCTGCTTCGAGATAGAAGTAGCACTTAGTCTTCCATCAAACTGTACATACGTTATAATACAAAGAAGTGGTTTAAGAAAAGAAAAGAAAATCACATGCGTCTGTCAGTTTCTACTCCATCCCACTGGAAGCGCTAGAGAGCACATGTATGAAAGACTAATATAAACAAAAGGCCTCTGGGGTATTACATCACATGCCTACAGCTCTATGTTGCGCCCCCTACATTCTGAAGGGACAAAGCAGAATGTGTCTTGTCTGGAACAGAGCCCCCTGCAGGACACAGAAGTGCATGACGGAACTGTGTAAAACTTGATTTTTATTGACGTGTGACCTGGAGAGACAGTTGAATGTGTCCTTTGGTTTATGTCAGACTTCTCTGTCATTTTAGTCATTTATCAACATTTAAAGCTGCTGTTGGCAGGATCACTAAAACAACATGATTAACATCACACCTCAGAATGTTCCAGACTGATGGTGCTTCTGTCGTTAGCACTGATCCTTGGTTCAGCTTCAGGCTGTGGCTCCCTGTGTTTGGCTTCGTTAACATCATCATTCTCTTCTCTTAACGACACTGTGTTGAACTTGGAAATAAAAACACACACAGGTCTGTATCTCTGTCCAAATAATATAATGTTGTCCTGAACTGGGATGAACTCCAGGGTTTTTGGCCCTGTCTCTGATTAGAGTGACCCTTCACAGGAAATCTTTTAGTCTGGAAGCAATCAATTGATCAGTCTTTATTTTTTCTTTCTTTGCAGAGTCGGCGGCTGCTGATGCTGGCGAAGCATTGCTAACGCTACCCTGTCCTGTTGTTTTGGAGTAATGTTTCATTAGCATAATTCTCTCTGAGATGACTTCAGTTTCAGCAGAATTACTGGTCAGTAACGCACACAAAAATCCTGCATACCCCAGCTTTAAATGCACACCAGCAAAAACAACTCACACAGGGGGCGCTGTTCCAGTTTTTACTGTTTTACTGTGATGTCCCTCTGTCAGTTTCCTGATGATGTGTGTGAAGAGACTTTTAAATGACACATAGAAAACACCTGGCTGGCTGAAAAGGCTGGAACCGTACTGGTGGTGATGAAGAGTGACGAAGAGTGAGAAGCCAGTCCAAAAATAAGGCCAGCTAAATTGCATAGAACTTCAGTAGTGATGATCACTGAGGCGTTAAAAAGGCTGCGCTCCGTTCCGCCTGACTGTAAATCTCTCCACTTCCACTCAAACAAACCAGAAAGTCCAACCAACAGAGCTGGGCTCCAGCCTTCCACAGCTTCAGTAGAACTCAAAGATAAATGACTTTTTTAAACTCTTATTTCTCAGTGGACAACGATTCATTGTTCACAGAACAAGAAGCACAATATGTACTATTTTCAATTCCTTTAGAAAAAAAAGGACAGTAATACGGGTAAGAATTAGTAGAAAATACTCCTCAGCCAGTTGAAAACATTTCAGTTTCTGGAAGAGTCCAGTTAGGCAGCAGTGAGGGGGAGGGGGAGGGGGGGGGGCTTCGCTCAGACTAAAATGTATAAAAGCACCAGGTCTGGGCCTGAGCTGCAGGACCTGACCAGGTCTCACAGACCCAGGTTGGAGCAGGACGGAGCTCTGAACACGTTGTCATGGCAACCAACCGTGGTCAGGATGAGACGGGACCACTAACGGAGGCGTCGGCCTCCGGGTCCTTGTCTGAGTTCTCGTCCTGGATCTCATCAGTGTTCCCTGAGTCGCTGCTGGCCACGGAGCTGACGGAGGGAGAGTTCCTGCCGCCTTTTATCATCCGTCGACAGGTCTCCATCTGGACGTCCAGGCCTCGCTTCATGCTGCACATCTCCATGTACTCGTGCAGGTGTCGGTTCATGTCACTCTTTGCCGTGGCCAGTTCCATCTGGAAGAGCAGTGGAAGGTAAGGAAAGTTAATGAGTTCATTAACATCTTCAGTGCCATTATGAATGCTGTGTGTATAAATCTGCATATCCATAACAGAGAAGCCAGGCCGTATATGTCAGAGTAAAGGGGCAGATGAATTCCTCAGTTTGTTTCTTAAACTTTAACTTGAAACCATGACTTAATTTTAACAACAATTTTCATAATTGTAATTTAAAATACATTTTTTGAATGTGTTGTCCCCAGTGTTGGTTTTATATTTTCATGTGAACCAAACTAAATCATTCTCTCCACAGTATCTGTGACACAGTAACCCGGCGGCCGTCGTCTACCTCGATTTGGCCGATGGTCTCCTGGTACTCCTGCTCTCTGGTCTTAAATAGAGACTCTGTTTCATCAATGAGGCTGCCAAGACTTCCATCCTGGGAGTCCTGAGAGAACACACACACACACACACACACACACAGGCCTCATTCATCATGCATTAGTGCACGTCTGACACAGCGCTCATCTACTCACAAACTTGCGTGAGTCTTGGAAACCGTACGCTGCGTAAAGTGCCACGATGGCAGGCAGAGACTCACCGGATCAGCGGGTTCGCCGTTGGCTTCACTGGGGCCGTTCACTGTACAGTTTGCTGCAGTGATGGCAAATGGCACGTTGTAGTTGGTGAAGTCCTCCCACAGCAGCAGGGTCTCTTCGTTCTCCTCCCACGTCAGACTGTCACAGTCATCGTCGATTTCAAATGTCTCGCGCCTGGCAACAGAGGAGTTATCTGAACAATGTCGGGGGGGGGGGGGGGGGGGGGGGCAGACAGAAGAGAAGAGAAGAGAAGAGAGAGGGACGAAGGCCAGAGGTGTAACAGCCGCCACACACACAGGGATCAATGATACAAAGACAGTGGTCAGATGATTGGTCACAGAAGGAGGGGATGATGTGGTCAGGGTCAGAGAAGGACCACGACTGGGTCAGGGTCAGGGTCAGAGAAGGCCCACTACTGGGTCAGGGTCAGGGTCAGAGAAGGCCCACTACTGGGTCAGGGTCAGAGAAGGCCCACTACTGGGTCAGGGTCAGAGAAGGCCCACTACTGGGTCAGGGTCAGAGAAGGCCCACTACTGGGTCAGGGTCAGGGTCAGAGAAGGCCCACTACTGGGTCAGGGTCAGAGAAGGCCCACTACTGGGTCAGGGTCAGAGAAGGCCCACTACTGGGTCAGGGTCAGATAGAAAAACACTAAAAGTGGTGGCAGTGGTGGCTTAGTGGTTAAGGAAGCGGACTTGGGTCTGGAAGGTTTCAGGTTCTGATCAAGGCACCGTCCCCACACACTGTTCACTTTGGTGATGGGTTAAAAACAGGTCACATTTCGTTGTGTGCAGTGGTGCAGTGGTGCAGTGGTGTGTGTCACAATGACAAATAATTCACTTTCACTTTAAACTGTAAATATGAAGAATGTGGCTTCCTCTCCTCCCCTGCAGGGGGTGCTGTGGCTGCCATTTAAAGTCTTAGGTCCAGTGTGCCTGAACAACATAACGTTTTATTTTTGCCTTTTTGCGAAAAATAACAGGTGACGTTTTCTGTCTTCGCCGTAATTCAGCTAAGCCGGTGTTCCACAACGGCACATATTTTTCTTTAGAAAAACTTCACAGCACACCACCAGACAAAGGTCTTCTACTTTAAATGTACTCACAATTTGCTCAAATCTTAGCCTGTTTAGTTGAAAACAACACTGATATACTCGCAGGAATTGAAGAAAGACTAGTATGTACTGTAATATTACAGTATGACAGTACAGAGTGATAAGCTTGCAGAAAACTACTGCAAAGAATATTCAGTTTCATTCACAGTAGACCTGTGTGTGTGTGTGTGTGTGTGTGTGTGTGTGTGTGTGTGTGTGTGTGTTGAAGGCACTGCTTACAGCTGGTTGAGCATGCGTTTCATTTCGTCTGTGATGTTGAGCGACCCGGGGGCCTCCTCCTCTGAGGGGGTGGGCTCTGCGTCCATCTCTGAACTCTCCTCATCAGACGCTGTCTTTCGC